GTGTGCAGCAAAGCGATTCAGTTATACATATATATATATATATATATATAATGGTTTCTTTCCTCAGAACATAAACAGTGAGTGAGGGTCTGGAGAAAGATTTTTCTACAGAGGTCTATCAAGTATAGAAACAAATAATAAATTTGAATTTTAAACTTTTACAAATGAAAGAATACAAACAGGAATTGAATTCTGGCCATGCATTTTATGTAAGACAGGGGGAATGGGAGAAGGAATTTTCTTCATTTTTAAAATTGACCTGTAACCTCTGATGGGACCCTGGCCAGTTCCTCAAAACAGTTCTAGCCAGCGCATATCTGCATGTCTTCCTTCAAACTGGAACTATTTTTGGAGCTGGCACAGAAGAAGCTAGGTGCAACAACTAAAAAGAGCTGGTGTGACAGTGGAGAGATGTTCTGTCCTGCCGCGCTGCTCGTCTCTGTATAAAAGACAGGGAGGGGGGTCCATTTTAAAGATCAACTTTGTTTGGGGGACAATACAACTTTATCTTCACTACTTTAGACTTGAGTAATAGGAATATGAGTTTGCTTTTCATGATTTATAGTCCTCTAATATAGAACATGAAAAGTTACTGTTTCTTAGTACATTTGTACTTGTATGGTATTCGCAGCTTGCAAGTGTTTTTATTTCACTGGTCTTTGGAGCTCTAAAAAATAATCTAAACCATGGGTGATAACCCAAAAAAGACCAATGAAGGAAATGAAGCTCAAGGAAGCTAAATTACTTATCTGAAGTTACAAAGCGTGAAGTGGTAGAACCATGGCTCCAGGCAAGATCCTCTGACTCTAAAGCTCATGCTTAGATCCTGGCAGAGAAATGTAGCAGTGATCATTTCGTATTTCTTGTCTCTCTTGGGAATCTTAAACAACGAAAGCCAGTCATTTTTGTGTAGTACTTATGATTCCTTCTCAAAATTACGTTCATGCCTGTTGCAGTGCCATCTTCATAATATTCCTGAGTTGTGCTGCACCAACATTTATCCACATCCACTATATGCCAAGCACTGTTCTAGATATGGAACAAGACTGATAAGGTCCCTGCTGTCGTAGAACTTCCTATGCTCATTTAAATAGAGAAGAAACCAAAGGCATAGCAAAGAGAAATGATTATGAGAGTTTATGAAGGGGTGGAAGCAGACTCTAGGTATTCTGATTCCAACACAGGTCTCTCATTCTCCCATGAATGGTATACCAAGCACTCTAACTTAATACTCTTAAACACACACTCAAACACTACTGCATAGAAATGAGTCACTAAAAGGAACACCCCAGAAATTACTCACACCAAGTCTTACTGCTCTCCAGACTCCTCTTGAAGACAGTACTACTGTTCCCATTTTACAGATGGGGAAACAGAGGTGGAGAAGGGTTAAGTCTTGCACAACTTCATGTAGCTACCCTCAAGCCATGGTTCAAACCCAGGCAGTCTGAGACCAGAGCCCACCTTCTTAGTCATGTCATGACACTGTGTCTCCCTTATGGCACGGATCACATTCTTATTATAGGCCCTTAAGTTTTCTCCCTTATCAGACTGTAAATTCCATAAAAGTAGAGATCATGTTTTACTTAGTTTTGCTGACTCTATCTTCTCATTGGAAGTTAGAGCATGACAGCATTTCTCAGGATTCTTACTTCGAAAGGTCAAAGATTAAATGGTAACTTAACCCTTCCAAGCAAGGATTTTTGTCAGTTGAGCATCCTCTAGGCTGGCTGAGCTTTGGCCACCTCAGTTTCATATCTATCAGATCTGTAAAGTTGAGTATTTTCTCATAATTCTAGCTTTCAAATTGAAATGTTAATATCTGCGATTCTTGACATATAGAGCACTCAGTTTCGATAAAGAATGGTCTATTCCTGCTCTTTTGGTAACAGCAAGATCTTATCTTGGATTTAGAGTAAAAATATGAGATAACCAAATGACTTCTCTCTATATCTTTGGATAGTAGGTTAATTTTTGGAATGTTTTTGCCCAAGAATCAATGTGATTAAACTGAACTGGGAGTGGGGTGAAGGAGATTTCACTTTGAGCCACAGGAAGAAACAAGAAACATCCCCGAAGTACATATTTTTCCTTGAAAGTAAAAGAGTTATTTCTGAATTTTAATTAATGATCTTTTATAAAAATTCTATATTAGATATAACATAAGGAAAATAAAAAACGTTTTTACTTCCAGAAAACAATCCCTTTTAAAAATCACATTAAAAACACTTAGGAATAAACCTGACCAAGGAAGTTAAAAGACTTATATGCTGAGAACTATAAAACACTGATAAAGGGAATTGAAGATGCTTTAAAGAAATAGAAAGATATCCCATGCTCTTGGACTGGAAGAATTAATCTTGTTAAAATGACCATACTACCCAAAGAAATCTACAGATTTAATGTGATCCCTATCAAAATATCCATGACATTTTTCACAGAACTGGAACAAATAATCCTAAAATTCATATGGAACCATAAAAGACCCTAAATTGCCAAAGCAATCCTGAGGAAAAAGAACAAAGCAGGAGGCATCGTTCTCCCTGACTTTAGGCTATACTATAAAGCTACAGTAATCAAAAAGCATGATATTGACACAAAAAACAGACATATGGATCAATGGAACAGAATACAGCCAACACACCTACAGTCAATTAGTTAAACCAACACACCTACAGTCAATTAATTTTTGACAAAGGAGGCAAGAATATACAATGGCGAGAAGACAGTCTCACTGCAGCACCATTTGCAATAGCCAAGACAT